AATTCTCCCGATTTCGTGCAACTTCCCCGATCGAATTTTTCCCCATTTTTTTCTTTTCTTTTCATATTTCTGCATTTTTAGTTCCGACCTGATTATGGTATCGAATATAGCGCACCTAGGAGTGCATATAATAAACAAATGAGTAAATAAATCTCAATAGAAATTTCAAGCGATGTAGGGGAGAAAATGGCAATATGAATCGGAAAGAATAGAAAGATCAACTATCGGAAAAATTTTCCTGCGGCTTCGGAAAAATTTTTCACAGGAGGCAAATACGATCCCCTTCCTCCAGCGACCAAACGAGACCCCGTTGGACGACCCTGTTAGAATGTCGACCCTTGGAAATGTGGAATACTCACACTTTAGTACTTTCTTCACTCTAGCGTAGACAAATTTACAAAGCTGAGCTGATGATGTGTAAGGTTGTTGGCCCAAAGTCTCCCATCTGATGTGTTCTGTCCAAATATTCTAGTTAGGTTCCGGTGTTTGCCTGATTTTTTTCTGAGCAATGTGTTACTTTAAATTTTTAAGGTATGGAATATACGGGACGGTTCGTGTATGTATCGCCTTCATGGTCCAAATGGGCATACTTCAGCTATCACTTCTCTCCAGTTTCTGGACAACGGCATTGTAGTTACTAGTGGTGATGATGGAGCCGTAAAATTATGGGACGTTGTAAAAGGTAATGACAGTAGACTTCACGCTGTTATATAACTTTTCCCGTCAAGGGATGAGGTAGCGTTCAGACTTCGCGACGGCAGCGCTTCGGTCGCGCGTTCGACGCGATCGATGCAGTGAAAGCATGCGCATCGATCGCGCGCGACCGAAGCGCTGCCGTCGCGAAGTCTGAACGCTGCCTAACGGCAGATCGAGTTGGTCACACACATACTCCTCTTTAGCACAATTGAGATGTATTCATACGTCGCTATACGAGAGATCGCATCGCGAAATATGGTTGCTACATAATCTATCCTTACCTAATTCACCAATAAATTTGCGATAAAATAAAACCCCGAAATATTTTTTTGAATTGCAGGAGAATTTGTTCGCGATCTTGTTCGCCTATCGTCGGGAGGAAGTGGTGGATGCATTTGGCGTCTGAAGGCGACCAGCAATCTATTAGCATGTGCGGCTGGTTCTCGAAACGGCACTGAGGATACGAAAATTATACTACTGGATTTTGACGCTGGATATCCATAACCGGTTGTGATTTTTACCATATTTGTCTGGTCACCTAGGGTTTTTATGAAAAGGCGCGAATCGTTTGGTTACATTAGATCTGGATTTGTTTACTTAGTTTGGCTTGTTTATTTTCGTGGGAAATGGAGATGACGTCATGTTTTCCAGTACTTTTTACTTGTCGGGATGGCAAGTCTTATGCTGACAATGAGACATTAACCTTTGGTCGGCGCTATTTCCCTTACTGTTGGGAGGGGAATTTTTGCAAATTCATGTCAACTGGGAAGTGATGAGTAATATACACGCAAAGAAATAATACCAGTTACTCTCTGAGTGGCCTAACACGGAATGGTTGGCAGTAAACGGTTGAAGCCTATAGTTAAGGGGCGTTACTCCCAGGTTGCGAGAGTACGAAAACAGTTGTTGCAGGCGGGGTGACGTGCGCAGCATTCGCACTGGGACCCGATCCAATCGACGTGGCAGTGCGTCGATCCTTTCGACGTCTGCGTCTCTCAAGACGACTGGCTCTCTGTGTCGATGCTGTATGGTGAACTAGTTAAGAAATACTCCACTAGTGCACGCGATGGCGCGATTCGTTGAGCGGAGGCTAACGCTCTACACCCGAGGTTCAGCGACAGCTGTGTTCATACTCTGTAATGACGCTCATCGACGCGCTTTTGTGGAACACTAGCGGCCAGCGCTGATCGATAACCGTATATGACTTCGTCGCCTTCTGTAGTTGAGACGCTATTGCAACAGCAAAAAATCCTAGACATCAGCCGCTGTCATTATAAAATTCAGATTTTGCAGGGAAGGAACTTGGTTGATTTGGGTCAAGTAATAGCAGTAAATTACAAGTACGTTGAATCTTCCAAGAAGACACCTATTCTAAGCCACTTCGATTGGTTCCAGATACTATGGCCTCCTATGTAACAAATTTACTGTCGTTTTTCATTTGGTCGACACCGAAATATTGGCTTAGAAAAATTCATGCCTTTCTAGCCAGTCATGGATTACCCAGCTGATCACGACTTTTTCTGTTAGACTAACTTGTCCCGATCAGCTGAGAAATCCAAGATTGGCTAGAAAAGCGTCAAACTGTCCATTTGTGCTGTTCTAAGCCAATACTGGATATCTAACACGTATAACGACAGTAAATTTGTTACTTGTAAGGCCATAGTATCTGGGATCAATCCAAGAAGCCTAGAAAAAGTGTCTTCTGAGAACGTTTGAATTGTTTGTAATGTACAGCTATTGAGTGGAATCAGAGCAGCAGGACCAGTACTACAACTTGACGACCAGGAGAGCATGCGTCACCCGAATCAACCAAACTTCTATCCTTCTGGGTCCCGATTTTCTAATGGAAGCGGCTAGATGTTCCGGATACCTTCCGCTGCTCGACCTTACGCTCAGAAGCTTCTGGGATGCCAGGGAAACCTAAATGCGAGAGGTCTTCCACAGGCACCACTTGGCGCCAAACCTCGAGTGTGGAACATTCCGCTCTGTATAACGTGGCCACTGACTGTGAAAGTGGTATCATGCCACTAAAAGTGGTATCGTTCAGCAGGTTTTCCAGTTAACGTGAATTTACAAGAATGCACTCCCCGTGAGGGAGATGCCCCCCCTCCCCCTTATCTGTAAATGACGTGATCACCGCTAGAGGAAATGAAACCGGTTGAATTGCGATAGCGAAATGCTGGTCAAGTCGCCAAATTCCTGTTACTCACTTTTGCTTGTGTACGGATGCTTCTTAGAAATAGTTAATTCTTCTATGTGCTGCATTCGTTTTGAGGTTATCAGTAGTGGTTCGATTTAGAGGTCCTTAGTAGTTGTTGGTTTGCTTTTACTCTCAGTCAATTAATTACTAACACTTCAGCATTGTTTCTAGTCACATTGTAAGTTGCTTACTTTCTAAATACTTCCTGTTCCATAATTACTCTCTGCCATCACTGATTTTAATTAGACGACAATTAATGGTGTAATGCTTTAAGCTTTTCATGATGTTGCTATGTTCGATTCTATGGGAATTCCTGGGAATTCTATTTCTTCCCCTTGGTTTGTTCCAGTGATGGGATTTCTGGTTTTGCTATTTGTGGTGCATCACTGTTTTTGTCGGGACTTATCTCATCAGTTAATTTTGATTATTTTGTGCTGGTGTCTTGTCTTTCAACCAATCCCTTGTTAATCTGATGTGCCGAAAATGTCATAACTATGTGTCTATTGTAAGTATTGCGCCTGTTCTATAGTTGAAATAAATAGTTGATCATATGAGGATTGTCGGTTTGTTGGCTGCCTCCCAAAACGTCCTTTATCTTATATTTATACTGTTCATGACATATTTTGGAGACCGCTACGATTTTTTTTGACTTATTTGCGTGTACTCAACAGTTGGACTCTCTTTCATCTGTAAGGCAGCGTTTAGACTTGACGAAGCGCAGTAGCGCAATATTACAATTGCAATCGCACTCCAACGATACAGACGGGAGCTCAGTCATAGACGGGACCGGTCGTCGCCGGCCGCTACAGATTCGAGATAGTATAGGAG